TCAGAAACCAAAGCCATGCCACAGTTTTAAAAGCACAAAACTACTAATATCATAAGCACTCCGCTGATAAGAATAAGCTTAAGAAAACTAGACATAACGGATCTGAAGAGATGGCTCTGTGGAAAGAGTATTTGTTGCTCTAGTGGAGGACCACGGTTCAGTTCACGGTACCTATGTTGGATGGCTCACAGTCACCTGTAACTCCAGCTCTGGGGTGTGTGTTTGGGGGAGAGGGTGCCCAATGCCCTCATCTGGCCTCTGCAGATACACTGCATGCCGCAGACAGACACATGTACACGTAAAGAATATTTCTTTAAAAAAAAAGAAAACTAGAAATATTCTGTGATAGTTTACAGGATAGACATAAAAAAATAACTTAATCTCTAATAGTTAAAAGTAAAGCCAGTGGTACTTATGAATAAAACAATGGGAAAAGCATCAGGGCAGACTGTCAGGGAGCACATCAAAACCAGAGAGGAAAGGGACAAATCACAAATGGCCTTCTGTTTGTTTGAAGTAAAGCCAAGAACAGCTTTCTGCGACAAGCCTTGTTGGTCTACCCTGATGTATGTGACAATGAAGCATGCCCTTCCATGCACCCAGGCCTTTTCCAGGCCACAGGTGCCGTTAGAACTGGACTCATAAAGATGTCATGACACCGTCTCAAAACTACAAAACTGGCAAAGTCCTGACCTTGAAGAACTCACAAACTTTAGAATAATCAATCCTAGTGTGGCGTCAGGGAACAATCATTGTTCCCTTAGTAGGTTTGGAAGTGACAACTGTGTAACAGTTTCGAATCACATGCTCATCAGCAGGCTAACACTCCCGTCTTTACAAAGGCTGGTTAAATTGCTCAGTACTGATCGGCCCAAAGCAAACGAATAACACTCAGTGATTTGGAAGAGCAACAAGCAATGCCCATGCACTCTGCCCCAGCTCTCACTGAGTTGTGCTGTGCAAGGTTCCCACAATGCAATATTATTTGTTGCCCACAAATAGCAGTTTTATTCTTCATTTGAGACTACCTTAGGAGGAAGCGCAGATGCATGAACCATCAACACTAATTACTTGTAATGTCTCAGGGCTTTAGGACAATTACTACTGAGGTTACTGCCTGGAAACAGAATAATTATACTAATTGGAGTTCATCAGCTATTCATCTTCATAGTAAGCACAACTGATGAGGTGAAATTTAGTGTCTCTATATGGATGTCATCTCAGCTGCTGTGAGCAACCGGCTGAAGACATGTGCCTGCCACGAATATACTGCATGTTGGACAAACGCAGAGTGCTTGGGGTGTATCAAATCCACACAGGATACAGTAAGAGTTAACGAGAGTGGCACATTTTTGCCTCCTGGGTATTTTGATCTAGAGGAGGAAAGACATCAAATAAGCACAAAAATGTCCACAGCACTCTGAGAAAGTGTCACTTAACCTTTCAGTTGTGGAAAGAATATCTCAGGCAGAGGAAACAGCAGGCACAATCTTGGAGCGAGGTAAGAACTTGAGTAGGCATTGTGGCCAGGCCACTGAGAGCGGATGAGCGTGCAAATGAAAGAAGTCAAAAAATAAACATACAGGGCCTTAGAGATTGGACAAAGGCCTCCAGGTTTTACTCAAGATGCAACAGAGAGTGATGATTGTGAGTATGGGGTGGAGAGATGTCAGGCTGGAAAATCTGGGTTGCCGTCCTACAGAAGGATGGGCACTCCACACCAGCTATGGCTCAGGCATACGACAGTGGGCAGATGTGAGAGGCCACGGTGCTTTGGTACCCAGGATGGGCCTTAGAAAGAATGGCAGCTCTTAAGCCTGAATGGAAGAAGAAAATCCACTTCAGAAAGTGCACACTTTAAGAGGACCACTGTGGTGGCCTAAAAACAAACATTGCATACAGTGAAAATGTTGAAATTTTAAAATAATAACATCAGATATTTTCTATGGGAGTTAATCTACCTATGAACTTCTTATAAAAGATACTAAGTAGAATCACCTTTGAAGGGCCCTGGGCTTGTGTATTCCATGTAGTAAGACTAAATTGTCACCCCTGGTTTCACAGTGGGCTAATGAGGTCGTATTTGCATTCCTGTAGTTAAAACTACCTGAAATGACTTGAGATGGAAAACCAGTAACTAATGGCTGACTCACTTGAGAAATCACCCTCCTCAGCTGCAAACTTCTCTTTTAAAAAGCGCAAGTGGGAAGGGCAGACATACCTGCAGCTGCACCTGTTGAGAATGCCCCTCAGAAAAACCCCTTTATGTATCACCACTTGTTTTGTCACATGGAAAGGCCCCAAGTTTTATTAGTCTTGGTTTGTGTCATCATTAACATAGGCCACAATGTCCCTATCTTAATGTCTACTGATCTGAAGCCTGCCATAAAATCCTAGACTCTTCCTGATACCTGTTTTGGCTAGAGTCCCCATCTTCCAAAAATAAAAAAAAAAAAAAAAAGATCATCCCCCAGTAAAAATAAGTCTAGTGAATTCCTACCAATAAGCACAGATGGTGGGGTGGGACTGGAAGTGGCTCACATATCTGCTAAATATTTCTATCCCCACCACCACCTCTGCTGATAGGACTTTACAAGGATAACCCCGTTCTACTCTAGAAAACTGAAGATTGGCTCCATCTACCCACACTGAGAAATCCCGCCTCTTGTCCTTTTTCTAGTCTCTTGCAGTGAAAAGCTTTATAATACAACATCAGGAGGAAAACTAAGTTTTACTCTGTGTTCTAGATAGCTACTAGGAAATGTCAGCTGCCTACAGCACTAGGTTAAGATTCTGAGGCCCCTCTGGCAGTGGAACCAGGATGTATCCCTAGTGCACGAATGGACTTTGGGAGCCCATTCCCTATGGAGGGATACTCTCTCAGCCTAGATACACGGGGGGAGGGGTGGAGCCTAGGCCCTGCTCCAAATGATGTGACAGACTTTGATGATTCCCCCCCCATGGGAGGCCTCACCCTCTCTGAGGAGTAGATGGGAGGTGGGATGGGGGTTAGTGGGGGGCATGGGAGGATGGGAGGAAGAGGGAACTGGGATTGGTATGTAAAATAAAATTGTTTTTAATTTAAATAAAAAAGAAACCCTGTCTTAAAAAACAAACAAAAAAGATTCTGAGGCCCTTCCTGTGCCCAAGTCCTTCCTGAGAATGGTACAGGTAATGGGACCTACACACCTCATTTACCATCCTTGGCCCAGTAGTCTAGGAACCTGACTCTGAATCCTAAATCAGTTTTGTTCAGTGATGAGAACCTGAGGAAAATGACTTTTCCTTCATCCCATTTGGTGCATGCTTGGCTCCCCCTGAAGAGTCAACCAGGGCTCTAGCTGCTTCCTCTTGAGACCCTGAGCTTCCAATGGTTTCCATAGAAAGTCATCTGTTTTGAGATAAGTCAGGAACTGTCATTGGCTGAGTTATACACCCCTAAAATTGCTAAGTTGATGCCACACCCTCTGGTATTTTAGATTGTTACTGTAATGGAAAACAGGGCTATCATGAGGTAGCTCAATGAATACTGGAGCTGGTAAGGCAGAGTGTAATTCAGTCTGGCCTGGGCCCTTACCAGCTTCTTGATCTTGGATGCCAGTGTCCAGGAACCACAAGGAAAGAGCTTTTTGCTGGTGAAGTGACCCCAGTCTATGAAGCCTTGTGCTGGCTGCTAGAGAACACTAAGAGGAGAGCGAGGCACAGATGCTCCCACTCCCCTGATGTGAGTCTTCCCACCCTCCCTCCTCTCTCCTTGGCTCCTCCCCTGCCCTCCTTTATACTCTCCCCTTTCCTTCCCTGCAGACACTATGAAGAGCCAATGGTGGTGCTGAGATCCCAGAAGTCACAGATTGCTGACATCAAATGATGTAGTTTTGCTTCCTATATTGTACTTATCAGAAATCCTGCCCACATTAGGGGAATCCAGGCACTTCTAGAAGCAGAACAGAATGGCTTTTCCCTCTCCCCTCCCCCCCATCAGAAATGTGGCTGCAGAAGTACCCCAGCTCAGACTTCCCTCATGTTGAGCCATTTCCTCCTTTGCAGAAGGGGTTTTACCAACATCTCTATTTACAGAAAAGCCCTACTACTCACAAGGCCTCTTCGCCCCCTCAAGACTGGAGTTGTAGGGTCAGCTGTAGGGGCAGATAAATGTGCTACCAGAAATAATCATGGAAAGACATCCCAGCCATTAAATGTGACACTAGCCTATGTACACTAGTATTCTAGAACAGTTTTCTGATTGTTGGCTATTTCCTCTACTAGGTAAACTAAGCAAACTGTGGCTAATATGTCAGGGCATGCTGGCTTGCCATGTGTGCGCGACTAATATTAGCAATTGTCTTAATACCCTAAAGACTTTTTTTTAAAGATATACCTCCTCCAGTTCTCACCTTCCTCCAATAGAAATCACACCCAACTCAAAACCAGCTATGGTTTCACTCCTCCTACAAACAGCAATTCACTTGGGGAGGCGGGTGCTACAGTGCATCCTCTGGACTCCTTTGCCATTTTTCTAAGCTTCTCAGCTGGGTGAATTCACTTAGTAGAGATGACAAAGGCCCCTGTGATGGTGTGCCTAGCCAAGCAGTATCAATAGAGGATGGAGATCCATCAAATCCCACCTCTTCCTGCAGAGAAACTCCAGTACCACAATCCATTGTCTCAATCCATCAAATGCCTTATCTTTCCCGTCCTTTTCTTCTTAACAGCATTTGTTGCTAGAAACAAGGATACAGTCAAAGAATGTGCTGCTGCTGGCTGCCTTAGTGTTTCAAGAATAGCAAAGTGATTTTTGTTAGCTAACAAAAGTGATTTTGTTATCCCTTGAGATGAGAAGCTTGTTGACTTTTGCATTTGTTCTGTTGTTATATTGTTTTTTTGTTTTTTTTTCTGTTTTTTTTTTTGAAAGTCTCAGCTTTCAGGGGGTCATCAGCTAAACATAACCTTAAGTAGCATCAATAGAGTTCCTTTTCCTTGAGCAATCACAGCTGCCTTACCTTAGTGAGATCAACTGCTAGCCTCCTGTGGCATCCTTTACCCTGCTCTGCACTGTAGTCTGGTGAGTTCACCCATACCCTGCACATCCAACACTTCAGTGCAGAGGACTTCAAAGCCAAGCTCTCTAGATGGCAGAAGCAGAGGCAGTCAGAACCAAAAGGCAGTGCTGGGCTAAGTAAACAAGTAATGTTTTTTGGGTTTTTTTTCCTACCTTTGGTTCATCCACCAATGAATGGATACCAAACCTTCCATGAGGCTTTTCATTGGTTGGTCATTGAACGGCAGGAAGGAACAGAGTTCACATTCTGTTGTAAATTGGAAGGAACATACACCATGGAGACTTCCATCAATCAGAAGAACAATACTTCTAATTGTTTGCAGAAAAACAAATCACCAAGCTTCTAAAGTCCAGTTAAGTGAGTCCTGGGAAGTAAGAGCTTGGAGTGTCAACAAAAGATCACCAGAGTTACTGAGGAAGCCCTGGTACCATCATAACCCCTGTCAACAGGGTGCTACTGGGCATGTTTATCTAAGGTTGTGTGGTTAAAAACTCCAGGAACTACAGTCACCACCAACTGTTAACCCAGATTCTTTGCATTGTCCTTGAGAACATGAGTCATGCAATTTCAAGATACCTTAGGTGATCACGTTAGTGTCTTTAGCAAACATCCAAGTAGCCCCCTAACTTCACCCCAACCTATCCATGAAACACAGGACAAAGGCATGGGCTAACTGTGCACCTATAAGTCACAGATTTCTCCCTCTTTTCCTTCTTTCCAATAATATTTGAGGATCCTAAAAGCAAATACAGAATGCTGACACTGTTCCCCATCTGAAACAGCTGGGGACATCTGTAAAGGTCAAAGACAGCAAACACCCCCACACTACTCTCAGTCTCTGAGCCAATCTCAGATGGCCTAGGCTATGGAAGTCTTGTGAGACTCAACTATCCAACCAGAACTCGGTTCTCTGTATCATTATGGAATAGGAGCAGGGCACCACTGTTTTCCCTTGTGATATACTAACTCCCCTGAATAGAGGTTGTTAGTATTTAACTCTCCTCTTGTCTTAGTCTGTGGTAACAGTGTTTTGAATAGGTCACCAATGGGAACTAGCTGTGCACCTTTTCAAAGCCACTCTACCAGGCAATCCAGGAAGATCGTAATACACAAACTTCAATCAGCCAAGCTTTTCTTGTATGCCCATTTCTTCCTCAACTTTGAATAAAAGTTTAATTTCAGTTTACACTAGGAATACATTGACTTCCAAGGGTGCATGAATAAGTGATTAAAAGCACAAAACATTCTAAAAGCTGTGAAGTCACTTACATACTGAAGACTTCTCTGGAAAAAGTGCAAATTCCTCAAAGCTCCAGTCACACAAACTTCTAGACTGTTTTAAATATGAACTTAAGAGTTTCCACCTAACGGTTTGTACAAATCTGAATACATGTAAACAAAAGTTGCTAGAAAAAAGTTCCAAACACTCCAATATTGAGCTCCATATTAAGTTCCATATTTAACAGACTACTTCAGAGTGCCATAGCTCTTTCAAATCCCTAAATCAGCTCAAATAGCATAACTGGGAATTCTAAAGAAAAGCTAAGCCTCTTGTTTCCTAAGCCTCCAAGTCAGACCACACCAGCAATTGGACACAAACACATAACCTGTCTACAAAAGTGCACATACTGGATGTCCCCAGAGGCCTTGAAATGTTTCTACATCATTTTGACTCAAATGTGTACCTTCTATCTACCACTTAATCCTGCAACTGTTATTCACAGGGGAGACATGGGAGCAAAGTCTGGTGTTATGAGTCACTCTGGTGCACGATATTAGTCTTTGGAATATGGAAAAAAATCACATGCATAGAGTGCAAAAAGTAGGGACAAGGAAGCTGAAGGAGATGGATGACAATGGGAATAGAGGAATAACAGGTAATTTCTAGAAAGTTCCCCATGTGGGCAAATGTGCTGTTAACAAAGGTGGGAGGGCCCCTTTAGAGAGAAACAGAAATACAGGAACCCAACTGACTGTGAAACAATAGTAAAAGGGCAAAAGAAGTGGTATGAATTTTTTGTCCTAAGTTTCAGGCCATGAAGATTGGACATTTTGGTTTTTCCCTGCCCCACTCTCTCAGTTTGATGGGATACCAGAAATGACAGCTATATTGGGAAATAACCTGGCTTCCCCCTTAGCCACTAACCAGCTCATGTCACCCGTGTGCAAACCACTGACTTCTCCAAGACCCTTTTGAGTTCCCAGATAAGCGTTTTCAGTACTGAGCCTTCCAACCTTCTACTCCAATGAGGCAAGCATTTACAAAGAGCCGAGGTTTGGATAGTAACTAGAGGCATCCGGGGAGTTTCTGTATGTGTATCCTGTGTGAAGGCAGATGGGCTAATTCTAACATGGTAACCCTAAATGCACAAATGGAGACAGGCATGGTACTTACTACTCCATCCACATCTCCAGAGCCAAGTTCCAGATAAGATATTTGAGATATTGCTTCAACCTGTGAGGTAGAAGAAGGCAAGGGAGCCTTCAGGTGAATCCACACTTATTGAAAGCCTGAATAACAGCAACCATCATCATCACTGATATGTGTAGGACATCAACCCCTACACACACGATGACAAAGGCACTTCTAATCAATAGGCCCTACCTGTATCTCAGCTTGAATATGTAAACTGTTCAGTAGATTTCTTTTCATTGAGAAATTTAGTCTCACTCACTTTAGGGGAATATTGAGGGTGTTCGCATGTTAAGAATTACTTAGCTCTAAGAGTCTGTATTACATAAAATAAAATGGCCAATTAGCCCTGGTGAATGAACCAGGGCTGAAAACCACAGATCTTAGACACACCATTTAAATCTCTACTTTCCATTTATTTACAGGTGAAATACATATTACAATTAGTCTGAGGGGATTAAAATTCAATTATGACATGCTTCATCACAATGTAACATCATCCTGGAACTAGGAAGTGTTCTAATGGCATACTCAAGGAACTATAGCTATGAATTTTTGGTTTTGTTTTTTGTTTGTCTGTCTGGTTTTTTAGTCATTGATTTCTAAGTTCTTCCAAAGACTTCCCAAGGCATCCTCAGGGGTCTGGCTTGTAACACTGACCTCGTTTGTAGAAGCATGTGACTAGCTATCGACATAGACGATGATGTAAAGGAAATGGGTGTGTCCGCCACTTTAGAGTGAATGGGGACTCAAAAGACATGCTGAAGTTGGATGCACCATCATCCTAACTTGATAACTTCCTCTCATCCTTACAATAACCCTGTATTCCATTCTCTACTTCCAAGTTAGGCACACTGAAGCTAAGTATTTTGCTAAAGTTCACCTAAGTAGCAAGGCCTAAGGCACCTGAGACAGGATTCTATGCAGGTGACCACAACCCCAGCCACACCAACCTATAGAAATCATATTCTCTAGATACCATATCCCATACACAATGCCCAAACTAATGCCGAAATCTGTATTTCAGAGAAAGGTCTTTTTAAAGCTACTGAAGCACAGGTCCTCTCCTCTCTCATCCAAACTGAACTTTTATTAATTCAAAGTTCATAAAGTGCTTTTAAGTGACAAGGAGAAAACACCACACAAAGGTTTTGCCTTCTCCACTCTACCCCACATTCCTATGTCATCCTGAAGTATTTCCTGGTGTTCGAGTCTCCTGTTGTGCTCACAAATAGGTTCTCTTTCCAAATTTCCAAAGCTTGCAGGAATGCCTTCCCACACTCCACTCAGTCATGCCCTGTATGCACCAAGTGCCTACACTGCTCAGACTTCTCTATGTGTTTCCTTGGATTGGTACCTGAATCCTCTTGGGCACAGAGGGAAAACCCACTACTGGGCTCTCTCTGCCTCTTACTTCATCCCATGCCTAACTTCCAGAGGGAAAGGGAGAATGCTGTTTGACACCTTCTGTTTCCTACATTGGTGTCTCCTCAGAATTAAAATTGACCTGCACCCTCGTGAGAACATGATATGATTCTATTTGCTCTCAAAAGATTCACCATACAACCTTCTCATGTGACATTTATCTGCACATCTGTCTTTCTAGCTACAGAAGGATTGACAGGTAACAGCAGTTCTCCTTTGGAAGACTAGCTATGGCTGTGGTTTTGGGACACGAGAGGGGTTTATGTAGTTTCTCAAAATAACCTAAATGGCCTTCTTGGTTTTCATAAGCAGCTCTGGGATCAAAGGGGCCGGGCTGAGACCATGCAACCCACTTTGGAGAAAATACACACAGTGCCCACAGAATTACATACATATATCACTCATATGTATATATCACATATGTATGGTATTTACATATGAAATTTCTGACCCTTTCAAATTGAGATGGGCTGTTTCTGGTTGAATATCACTAAGTACTCAAGTATTCATCTGCCAGCCTGCATCAGAAATTCGTCTCAACATGGTAGAAACTGGTGAATAATGTCAGTTCCATTTACTACATCAAACATCACAGATAGATTAAGGAACCCTCTAGAGCCAGTCACTATTCTTAGCCATTAATGAACTTGTGCAATCCTTATTGTAACTTGAAAATGGACATTACTATCTCTATTCCACAACTGAAAGAAAAAAAAAAAGGAGAATTCATCAAGATGTGACGTCATTTGTCTCCAGTAGACAAGCCACTGTCTGAAGACCCTCCCACACCCAGTTTCTTTCCATTAAACTCTGGGGAAACCTCCCTGCAAATTTTCCCCAAGACACATACTTTTATCTGTAAAGCAATTCTGCCTGTTGGCAACTCTGTGGTTTCAAAGAGTAAATCCCATGCTCCCCGGATTTGCTCAAGTGTTGGGAACAGAATGAGTTGGAAAGGACTGAGTTGAGAGAAAAGTTGAGACGGTGCCTGTCCTGGAGAAGGCCAACTTGTCCGTGCCCTTGCAGGCTATCTTCAGCAGCTACCTAAGCTACCAGCTAAGACCATCATGGTGAAAGCTGCCCCCACCAGCAAAGGCCTATGCAAATCCAAAGACCCAGATACCAGAGCACCTGCTTTGACGTAGTTCTCAGGACTTTTTTGGACAGCTTTTGAAAACAAAATTTTGTAAGAGATCACAAAAATAAGACCAAAAAAATCTGTATTAAATCCTTTATTTGGTGGTGTTTGTTCCAGCCTTTACAGTCTAATGATCGTGAAAGTGAGTTTGAGGCCTGCAAATGAACATCTTAGCTAAACCCAATGCAAACCATTTTAGAAGTATTGGTAAGGAGTGTGTTTGTAGTCTACTATGACTTCCCCTTTCAAATGTGTATTTATAAAGACAGAAATCAATTGTTTTCCAAAGACTAATATAAAACCACTGCAAAATAACATTCTACACCAACCCATTTAGTATTGTCATTAATAAGATAGCATAGGGTATACATGTAAACATACATGTATACATTTATGTGTGCATGTGTATACACATGCTACTTGAGTTGTTTGAAGAATGATTCTCATGTGCAATGTTTTACAGAACTAGCACGCATAGCACAGACATCTATTTTACAATGAATAATATTCCCAAAAGGTAAGCTTTTCTCTGACTTCATGCACCATTTATCTTAACCATGAAATGCAAATGGCTTGATGTTAAAGGGAAATAAAAATAAAGAAAACGTAATTAGTACATTTAAAACCATAATGTGATTTGCTCTGAAAAATCCTGGAGGATTATAAAGAGGCCTCCAAGCACAGGGAACCTAAAGCTGGGGACTCTTCTACTTAACATTTAAATTAGGGTAATGGAGGAAGATCCGTTTCATAAGCCACGGACAGCTTGAACACCAGTTAAGGAACATAAATGCCTCTGTCCAGACAGTCAATATAGTCAACTCCTGGTGCAGCATATCAGGATCTTAAAGAGTTCCCTTCTCCATCTACTAATGCTTGGCAAAAAAAGCTGGCTAAAGAAAAAACAAATAACATAATATTTTTAATTGATTTTAAAATTATTTTGTTTAAAAATCTAAAACTCACTGACTTGAAAGCTATTGATTTTAGAATATATTCCAGCACTGTCCTCCAAAAACACTACCTGGGGGGGGACTTTATTTAAGTACAGATAGCCCTCTAAATTATACTACTCAATTCATAATTCATACAGAATGATAGAGAACTCTAAATACATAAAACTCATTGCTAAGGATAAGAGGATAAAACCCTTGCCACTTATGAGTCAGCCAGACACCCTACCAGTTAAAAGCTGTGATATAGTAAACTCGGTCAATATTTGAAGGTATCTTTGGTTCTTTAAAGAACAAAGGGGAGGAGGGGAGGATTGCCGTTTTCTGCCACGTGTTATTCCACCAGGACATACTGGAAACCCTTTAGCATGAAATCCTTTCAAACACAACCCACCATAGCAAAAATAGAGCATCAGGCATCTGAGCATCTGATATGGACAGTCAGTCCTATTTTAAATAGTGGAGGTAAACCAGCCCTCCCCCCCTCAAAAAAATCTGAAGGGCCACAGGCTGGGAAATAGATGATTTGAAAGACAATCTGCAATCAAAGGACTATCAAGGCTGGGGTGGAGGGAGGGGGAGGGGGGTGTACTATGAACTTGGTGCTTCGCCATCTTCTTCCCAGCAACCCTAGCTCCAGTCTTCCTCTCCATCTCAGTGGGGTTTGCCTCTTGGAATCCTTAATGAAACAATAAAGTAGGAATCAAGAGAATTCGGAAAGGCTTAGACTGATGAAAAGGTAACCATTTTCTCACGCTGGCTTCGGTAGGCCATCTTGTTCGTTTAAATGCCAAGATGTCTTAATCTGTCCCAGGTGGTATCACCACGGGCAACACCATGGCTAGTCTGAGACTAATGTTCCTTGGTCAAATGACCCGCAATAAAGATCTGTCAGGCAAACAGTTAATTGATGCAAACTAAGAAAACCACCATCCCTGCAGCGCAGCGCGATATATGGGAACAGAAAGAACAATGGACAGTTCTAGAAAGAAAGAAAAAAAAAAGCAGTGTGCGTTTAAAAAAAAATAAATCCACAATTTCCCTCCCT